TTTCTGGAACTGGCTTTGAGCTTGGCAGAGCGCTTCTGGCCTGGCTACTTAGACGGCTGTGCAAGTCATGCCCAGGACTACAACCATTCTGTCAGCAGCGTTGCATTGTGTGCTTGACTTCTGTTGCACTCCTTCTGCCTGCAGGAGCTCATTGAAGCAGGCGCCGGCTGGGCAGACAAGTTTCGGGAGGTTCTCAGAGGACGCGACCTGGAGTTCTGCCGAATTCTCACTGCCAGGGGCATGCCCTTGACAGTTCTCCCTTCAGCAGACTCCGCCGACTTGATAGTTCCACCTCTCCTCGAGGATTTTCCTTTGCAAGTGTGGCTCCAGGCACGCTTCATGTCGAGAGAATGCTTAGACTTAGATCGAGCAGTCGTAGAGGGAGAGGGCAGGGGGGGCTGAAGCATTTCATGCAATCATGCCAGGCTTCCTGTAGCAAGAACGCATTGCTCGGTTTCATTGGCATGCAAGCTCAATTTCCGGTTTTCAGCCTGCCAGCGGTCCTTCTATATTACGTAATCTTCCAACGCCGTCAGGTTCCCGGCAACGAAGACCGTCAGACCTTGAGAAATGTTCTTCATCTTCTGTTGCAGATCCAGGAACGAAAGATTCATGGGACTCATGGCCACCAGGAGGCTGAGATCTCGGCGAAAGCCGCTGAGAACTATATGGACAAGTGGATACGAGTGGCAGGCTGTCTTTCAAGGGACCAAGGCACGGAGTCGACAGCAAACAAATTGCATGAGCTGGGACGCATGCACCTTGATGCCAAGGATTTGATGAAGGCTTTCAACTCCCTGCAGCACGCTTTAAGCATGAAGAGATCTCTGTATGGCAACCAAAACACTGCCAGCATCGCAAAGACTTTGACCCTGCTGGGCCAGGCCACACCGGCCACATTCCACAACCGCAAGTTCGATGTGCATTTCTTCCGACAGTGTTTGGACATAACCGTACAGTGTTTGGACATGTATTTTACCAAATATCTCCCTTCAGATGATTGGGACGAGTTTCTATCCTATGGCGTGAACCGCGAGTATGAAGAGTGCATGTGCCACCTGCGAAAGTATCTCGTCTCGCCACAAGTGGTGCCTTTCGATCCTGCCGA